GACTCTTTTCCTCAAGGAATAGTAACATCATACAAGGAATGAGCTAGACTTTTGCTTCAGGTTACCTGAGGAAAAGAAAGAAAGAAAGATTGGGTGGAACTCTTATGCAACTCAGGTTAAAAAACAGCCTTTATCCCTTTTGGGTAAGACAGTAACAGTATGAAAGAAACAATATCAACTCCAACATATTTAACACACATAATAAAAAATATCTGAAATGCACCAGGCAGACATATTACAGAGGGTGTAAATGCCTCAGGTAACATCTGAGCTGAACAGTTTTAAATCGAATGATATTTATAAATCCTTTTATTTCACTCATGACCCTTCATTCATATTGTTTTTCTCTCTTTTCTCCTATGTATCTCTAGGAATACTGTCTTGCCATCTTACTATGTTTATAAGCCTGAGGGTGAATAGAAAAGCTACAATAAATACATAGTGAGAAGTAAACACACATTACCTAATCATAGATTTTTACAAACACTTCTGAGATGACAAGAAGAATTCTTTATAGAGTACCTGGTTGGCTGCTTCATCATGTTAAACTGGTCATGAGTGGTTTGTGTTTGTTATTATCTCTTTAAGGAATGGCTGGCTAGTGCCCATCCCAACTGGAGAATCTAAATACATAGAGGTGACAGTCATTTTGAAGTTTTTATTTTACAACTATTCCTCCACCAAAACACTTGGAGGCAATTTCTGCAATAGCAAGTAAAACATGTGCTATGAAGGACAACATGCTGTAGTGCACAGTGAGAAGGGAGGAGAAGAATGGGGACGCAATACAGAGCTCGAAACAATGCCATCATTATTAAAGTTGATAAACCAGCTAGATAGAGTGTTTGATGCCATGATAAAAGTTTTATTTATTGTGTTACTAATATGGAGCTCACCAAGTCTTCAAGCTTGTGTGGCACAATCTTTTGTAATGCTTTACCTGGGGAAGTGACTGGAAGTGTGAAATGAGGTTTAAAAAAATGATGAAAAGATGAGAAATAAAGCTACTGAAAAGCAATGATGAAGAGATGAGACATGAAGTATTGAAATAGTTGAGATAATACTACCTTATAATTGTAAAATATATGATGTTTCTGGCACTTACCAGAATGCTTGAAAACTCTAAGTTTAAATCACTTTACAGTTGTTAGTATAAATTGCTGAAGTCTCTGAATTTCCCTTTAAACCTATTCCTCCCACATGACCTGGTCCAGACTCCTTTTTTCTTCTTTAAGATTATTAAAGATAAATACATTGCATCTACGAGGACTCCTCTTATGGTAGGAATATATATGATTTTTATTGAATTTATTAGTACTTTTAAAGTATACAGTCCAGTTACATTTATCAACGGGACCTTGTACATTCACATGACAGATCTTGGTTCTCGTTTTCCCCCTACACCTATCCTCCCTTCACCCCCCCACCTCTCATATTTACAAAGACTTTGTTTCCATTTTTTTCCATTTCTCATGTTTTTTCTTTATTTCCTTTCACCTACCATTTCCACTTCCCCTACATCTATAGCCCTTTTCTTCGTATTTCACATTGTCAGCTATACAATTTGGAACTTGTTTACACTTTTAGTTTTTCACACCAGAGAAACTATTCAGTATTTACACAAGTGTGTCTTATTTAATTCACTTAAGAGGATGGTCTCCAAGTACATCCATTTTCCTATGAATGACCCTAGTTTCTCATGCTTTCTGGCTGAGTAGTACTCCAATTATTATCAAGTCTCCAGTTGATGGGCAATTGGACTATGTCCAAGTTTTAGCTATTGCCAACTGTGGTGCTATAAACATGGGTACACATATATCACTGTGGTATGATTCTTTTAATACTTTTGAAAAGATGCCCAAAAGAGGGATAGCTCATCAAATGGAAAATCTAGTCCTAGTTCTTAGAGGTATCTCCATATTGATTTGCACAGTTGTTGCACCAGTATGCACCACCAACAATGGAGAAGGGTTCATTTGTCCTCACAACCCCACCAAAATTTGTTGGTCATCTCTCAGATGACCAGTGATGTGGAACATTTTTTCATATGTTTATTTGCCACTTTTAATTCTTTATCTGAGAAATGTCAGTTCATTTCAGATACCCTGTTTTTAATCAGGTCTTTATGTTTAGGGTCCTGATTTCTTTGAGGTCTTTATATATTACAGATAGCAGTTCTTTGTCTGAGGAGCAACTGGTAAATTTTTTTCCCACGTATGTTGTCTTGTAGCTCTGTTGCTGCTTTCTTTTGCACTGCAAAAACTTTTCAATACAGTGAGATCCCAGCTGTTGATTCCTTGTACAAGTTCTTTTGCTTAGACTCCTAGAAAAAGAAGAGCAAGAAAAACCAAAAGCTCATACAAGGGAGGAAATTATAAAGATCAGAGCAGAAATCAGTGCAATGGAAACTAAGAGAATGATACAAAAAAAATCATTGAATGGAAGAGTTGCTTCTTCAAAAGAATAAATAAAATCAATAAACCATTAGCCAGCCTTGTCAAAAGAAGGAAAGAGTAAAGGCTCAGATCCATGCCATTAGGAATGAAAAAGATGAAGTCACAACAGATATAGCAGAAATCCAGAGGATCATCCATACCTATTTCCAGAACATGGACTCTAATAAGGTAGAAAACATAGAAGAAATAGACAGATTTCTTGATACTAAGGAATTACTAAAGTTGAATAAAGAAGATAAAAAATTCTAAATATCCCAATTACAATCAACAAAATTGAAAATGTAACTAAGTTTACCAATATAGAAAAGCACAGGTTCTGATGGATTCACTGCTGAATTCTACAAGACATTTAAGAAGAACTACTGCCATTGCTCCTTAAACTTCTCAATAAATTGAAAGGGATGCAATGCTTCTGAATTCATTCCTGAAATCAAGTGTTACTTGATTCCAAAACCAGGGAGAGACCCAACCAAAAAAGAGAACTACAAGCCAATCTCACTAATGAACATAGATACAAAAATCCTCAATAAGATACTGGATAAAAGAATACAGAGGGTCATCAAGAAGATCATACATCCTGACCAAGTTGAATTTATCCCAGAGATGAAAGGATGGTCCAACATACATAATTGAATAAATCTAATATGCTATATTAATAAAGGACAAAAACCATATGATCCTCTCAATAGATGCAGAAAAAGCATTTGACAAAATTCAACACCCATTCATGATAAAAACCCTGCAGAATAGATGGTATTTATCTCAACTGGATAAAGGCTATCTATGAAAACTCAACAGCCAATATCATATTAAATAGCTAAAAACTGAAAATCTTCAAGTTAAATTCAGGAACAAGATAAGACTGCCCCCTATCACCACTCCTATTCAATATAGTTCTGGAAACATTAGCCACAAAAATTAGACATGAGAAGAA